AAGAAATGGAAACACTCCATGATTGGCAGGTGTGAAAGTGATGCTATGTTTGGCAGTGAAAGGGGAAGTGATGGAACATTCTCTTGGTTCCGCTGTATGATGAGACACCTAGCTAACAGGTGGGAAGCCTCACTTTCCTCATTCGCTGCATGCGTTGCTAGTAATTAGGAGTCATGTCAGAGCTTACTGAGCTTCAAAGAGGGCAAATTGTTGGTGCCGCTTAGCTGGCACCTCTGTGAGTGAAGTTGGCGATTTATTTGCCGTGTCGGGAGGTATAGTATCAAAGGTTATGGCCACATATACAGATTCCGGGAAAAACGTAGAAGGAATACAATAAGTAATGTAAGAGTTTGATCAGGAAAGTTAAAATAGACAAAAAGAGACACATGGTGGAGGAGAATAAAAAGTTGGTTACAAGTGTCAAGGGGAAGGCCATTGTATTAAATCCATTCTTCTCTCCAGTTTATATGAATGGAACGGAGGGGTGTAACAGACAAGACATTGTATTGGTTGTATCCTTGTGACTAACAGAATCCAGTATTCAAAAAAAACTAAAAAACTTAATAAGAAAAAATCACCCAGACCAGGTGATTCAAGCCGGCCGTAGATGGCAGGGACCGGATGAATTTCAATCCACATATGGGCAGACTGGTTGCACTGAAGGCGATCCATCAATTGCCTTCAGTACTACCAGCCTGCCGTGTAGCGCTAGCAGTGATCATTGTATTCTGATGGCTGGGAAACCGCTGTCAAAATACAAAAGCTCCACAGGAGGGATTCCCCCATCAACACTGAATGTGTTGATGTGGAAAATCGAACAAATCAAGAAAACCTGTGGTTGCAGGAAAGAAAATTGCTTAATATGTGGCCTACTTTTCACCCAGGAGTCCTCAAAGAACTTAGCCATGTTATAGCCAGACCAATATTCCTCATTTTTAAAGACAGCTTACTGACTGAATGGTACCAGCTGATTAGCAAAATGCTAACATGGTACCAATACTGAAAAAAAGGGAAAGATTTGGACCTAGGAAACTACAGATCAGTCAGCCTAACATCAATAGTATGTAAACTATTGGAGGGGATGATAAGGGACACTATACAATAATTTGCTGACAAAAATAATATTTCTAGTAGTAACCAGCATGGATTTATGAAGGATCAGTCGTCTGAGATCAACCTCTTAATATGCTTTGAGGAAGTCAGCTTTAATCTGGACAGAGAAATGCCTGTGATGGATGTGGTGTATCTGGATTTTACCGAAGCATTCAGCACAGTTCCCCATAAATATTTAATTTACTAATTAATGTCTGTTTGCATTGATGATAAAGTATGTACCTGGATAGAAAACTGGCTACAGGAGCTCATCCAGAGGGTACTGACAAATAGCGTGTACTCAGAATGGTCTAGAGCAGCCTTTTTCAACCAGGGTGCCTTTAGGTTTCTTCAGGGGTGCCTTGGCAAAATGCCTGAAAATTCCCCAAAAACTGTATACAAGCCAGGAGGTGGATGAAGCAGGCCTTTTACTTAAAAGGTTTTCATTACACCCTGCACCACCATGTGCCATTACAACCTTCCAGCCGCCAGCGTTCTAACAACCAATGATGTCAGCAGTTGATAAGGATGCTGTTTAGCGCCCCAACCCTTTGGGGGTCACATTAGCTGAGTGACGGAGAGAAACCGAGGGAGAAGAGAGAAGCTGTCAGTACCAGTGTGCAGCGGTGTCTTTGCTTTGGAAGAGTCGGTCGCCTGTAACGTTGGGTGTCCTACATGTGAGGATGCTGCTGTGTTGGGTAAAATGATTCGTTTTGGGGGGGCCTCAAGACTGCGCAAAATGTTAAAGGATGTGGTCGGAAAAAAGGTTGAAAAAGACAGATGTGGAGTTACAAGTGGGGTACCCCAAGGCTCTGTCCTGGGACTCATTCTGTTTAATTTGTTCACAAATGATATGGAGTTGGGATAAATAGTTCCATCTCAGAGTTTGCTGACAAAACTAGGTAATAGGTAGCAGGGTAAGAACTTCACAGCAGGATATAGAAACTTTACAGGGAGACCTGAATAAAATACAGGGGTGGGCATCAATATGGCAGATAAGGTTCAAGGAATGAAAATGTGAAGTAATGAACTTGGGGCCTAAAAATATGAATGCAAGTTACTCTCGAGGATGAGAACCTCTGGGGGATACCAGGGTGGAAAAGGACCAGAGGGTTCAAGTAGATGACAGACTCAGCAATAGCATGCATTGCCAAGCAGCAGCAAGCAAGTCCAGCAGAATTGGGGAGGTTGGACATGAAGCATTTTAATCTCAAAATATGTAAGGGGTTCTTTACTGTTAGAGTGGTAAGATTATGGAACTCTTTCTCACAGTCGGTGGTGTTAGCGGGCAGTGCCGATATTTTCAAAAACCTTTAAGATGGGCATCTTAGCGAAAACAATACACAGTGATATGGGAAACGGTTGTGACATTTGACAAGTATAATACTACCCATTCCCCTAACTGCCTGTGAAACGTCCCTGCTGAGATGAACAAGAGGCCAAAATGGAACGACTTTAACACAGCAATGCCAACAAGTAAAGGTTCATACCCTTGTATTGTAAGGTAGTGGAGGTAACAATGCAAGTAGCTGGATGAAGGTGGATTGAAGTAGTTCTCAGTTCCTGGCAAATGAGGGGTATAGGTCTCACCACTGCTTGCACGTCTGCGGTGGGGGGAGATGTCAGATGAGAAGCAGTCCATAATGCCCTGGGCCTCCCCTCTCTAGCCTGCACCTTCTTAGCTAGTGATCCATTGCCCTCCCCGGTGGCCTTGTGGGCCCTTGGACTCTCGCTCACCCCACTCCTATGAATGTTTGGTTACTGCCCCCTCATCTAGCCTAAGCTGCTTCCAGCTTTCTCCTGCACTTTGTGTGCCCCTCTCCATGGTTGCTAGTGGGATCCAGCTGGCCACCTTCCTCCCTGTGAGCTGGTGGTACCTTCCTTGCCATTTGTGGCTTTCCTTCCATTCTGGCTCCTGGCTGCTGCTTATGTGGGTTCCAGAGGCAGGGATGCTGATGCAGACAATCAGAGACCTCCTTTCTCCCCTCTCCCGGTGACTTGTCAATCAAATGGCTGGAGAGGAGGAGTAACTGGCTGCAAGGAAGATGATGCCTGGGCTGTGTGGTTTAGAAGGGGCCTCTGCTCAGGGCTTCTCCTGGAATGGTCCCACAAGATTGTTCCACAGAAGATATTGTACCATTATTTAAAAATGGCAAAATGCTAGTGTAGCGCCCTCTGGTGTATACAGTTTGTGAGTGTAGTTAGAGGCTTGTTAGAAGCCTGGGAGTCAGTGAGTTTACTTTAAGTCAGGCTGGAAGGCTCTACATGTCAGGCCTCCGGTACCTCTCCCTGGTTCTAGAAGCTTGGAGACGTTTGTAGAAGCTAATGGGTGGAGGCCAGAAGAAGCTGATCTGCACGTTTATGGGAATCTGGCCAATCCCCAGACAGAAGTCCTGGCAAGGTGGCCTAATCAGTCCATCAATATGAGAAAGCCTGGCTAGCAGGGTAGTCAGGTGGAAGATGGAGTGCTGAGCTGTGCTGCTGTGTAGCCTGGGAGAGGACCCCAGAGAAGGGGGTTCTGCCTCTAGACTGGAGGTTGGAAAGATGGGAAAAGGAAGGCAACAGAGGGAGCTCCACTGCCCTACAGCCACTGAGGAAGGACAGCCTGCTAGCGTGGAAAGAAATTAGCCCAGAGAAAAGCCTGAAAAAGTTTGCACAAAGCTACAGGACACAAGGACAGTGTGGGTTCCTCTACACACCCCCAACCTACAGGAGAGGAGGCTACTAGGTGCTATACCCAACCAGTTCTCCCTGGGACAGTGCTGCAAGTCTATTCTAGATACTCTTGCTCTGGGATACTCTTCAAAGACAGTCAGGTGAATGGGCAGTTTCCCAGCTGGGGTCTGAAGAGGCCAAGTGCTCCTTACAGAGACTGTTACTGATCTGTCAGGACACAGATGCCGCTTTGGAAGGACTAGAAAGTCCAGGATCCTACATGTTTGTACACAATTTAGGACGTTTGTCCTTAGAGTTATTGTTTCAAGTCAAGTTGGGCATCCCATATACTCAGGCCTGACCATAGGGCACACCGGGCATTTGCCCAGTGGACCAGGGCTGCCTGGATAGGAGCCGGGAAGCTCATAGAGGAACCAGACCGTGCATTTCTCATGCCTGCTTCTCCCCCTCTTCCTCCTGCAGACGTTCAGTGGTGGCGGGTGAGAAATGCATGGACCGGTTCCTCTATGTACCAACACTTCTATCTATGTCCTGCTGCCATGGGCTCCTGTATACTCCCTGCCGGCTAGCCCCCACCTCATCTCCTGCAGCTCTGCCAATGGGTTCTGTCAGGAAAGACTGTCCCCAGTGCTGACAGTTCCCCCACCACACCTCCACCACAGACGGGAGAGGAGAGAGAAAGCTGATTCTTCCGCTCCTCCTCCTGCCCTTTCCTCCTATGTCTACCCTGCCCACACTCCCCGACAGTCTTGTATCTGTATTCTTTCTTTCTCTCTTCCCTCCCTCCCTTTCTCTGTCTCTCCTTCCTTTCTTTCTTCATTTCCCTCTCGCCAAAGCCCCCCAACAGGGCTCCTGCAAAAAAATTTAAAAAATAAAATCTAAAATTGTAAAAAATAAAATAAAAACTGACTGACACTAGTGGCGGAACTACCAGGGTTGCAAAGGTTGCTCTTGCGACTGGGCCCTGGCGTACCATCCCCGGACTCCAAGGAAAGGGTCCCCGGGCTTGGGGCTGCTCAATCCAAAATGCCCAGACCTATGTTTTGTCCCAGTCGGGGCCTGCATATACCCCTAGACCCTCTCCAAGGTGTCTGGAAGGAAATGGCCAATATAAAGATTTGCCAAGTATAGTTTTCATCCAAATGACTTTACAAAGGACATGCAAACAAAAGCTGTGCATAAGAGAAGATCTTCCCATCAGATTGGTAAGGGGTTCTTTACAGTAACAGTGTTTATTCTATGGAATTCTCTACAACATCAACAAGCAATAGAAAAAGCAATGATAGAATTTTAAAAGCACCTGGATGGTGTTTGGTATTTACATATACATTTATATACTGCATGTTGGTCCAGGGGGTTGAGCCAACATACTTTGGAGGGTCATAAAGGTGAAGATGGAACATGATGATATGACTTACCTTCCAGAAAGAGAAGTGAGAATATGGACTCAGCACAGCCTGAGCATCATTGGTTCCCAGCAGTTCATCTGTACAGATGGAGCAGTTCTTCTCTCCCCTCCAGTCATAGTATGGAATAGCGAAATCTTCATCTCCCGTCATCAGCTGGATTTGTCTCTCCAGGAAGAGGAGATTTAGGCGATGCCATCCTGGAAATATTGGGCCTTGGTGGGCAAAGTTTTTATTAGGATCAAATCTACTGTTTATTAGGATTGCTTTCATGGCGTAATAATGCATCCATGCAAACACATCATACAGAGAGGCATCTACAAAGCGGTAAGTCTCCCGGTGGAACCTGTCTCCAGTGCTCAGGATAACAAAGTCTTGGCTTTTGGTGGTCTTTGCTAGAGCCAAGTAACTGAAAAATCTTTTCTGCTCTAGAAAGGTCAGTTCCCGAATATCCCTTCGCGTTACAATTTTTTTTCGGTCACATCTCTCTCCATGATAGCCAAATTTACAGTCCCCGCAGTCAAAGCCACTGTAGTTTCCATTGCACTCACAAGTATTCTCATAGTAGAACAATGGCCAGTCCAGACGATCATCATTAGTTAGGGGAAGCTCTTTTCTATGTAAATTGGACCAGTTTCTACATCTTCCTCGGCCTGAAAAAATACCACATTGGCTTTTGTCCTTCCAAAGTGGACAACAAGTCTTGGTGTGAAAGGAGGCTTCTGTAGAGCAGGCTCGTGGGAACTGGCCGTCCACAGCAGAGAGGCAGAGTGCCAGGAGGACGATGAGGTTCAGCATGACTCCCTGTGGATGGAGGGACAGACATTAGGCGGTTGAACAGAAGAATGACTATTATTTCTGGGTTCTACCATTTTGTATTCTTCCACATGTATTATGGGTATCATGACGTTTATTTGGGGGCTCAAGGACTCAACCATAAATGAATAAGGAAACCATTCCAAGTCCACATCTGCAATCTCTCTGGGAAGTCCCACCATACCTTATATTGCAAACTTCCATACCATAGAGAAATATCCAATCATGATAAACCTTAAAGTGCATCTAAACTGCAGAACAAAGAGTTCATACACTATACTGCCAGACGTATTGGCCCCGCCCTCCAAACCATGTGATTCAGGTGTTCCAATCCCCTCCCAATCATGTGATTCAGGTGTTCCAACCCCCTCCCAATCATGTGATTCAGGTGTTCCAATCCCCTCCATATCATGTGATTCAGGTGTTCCAATCCCCTCCATATCATGTGATTCAGGTGTTCCAATCCCCTCCATATCATGTGATTCAGGTGTTCCAATCCCCTCCATATCATGTGATTCAGGTGTTCCAGTCCCCTCCATGGACACAGGTGTATACAATCAAGCCCCTAGGCATGCAGACGGCTTCTACAAACATCGGTGAAAGAATGGGTCGCTCTCAGGAGCTCAGTGACCCCAAGCGTGGTCCCGTGATAGGTGGCCACCTGGGCAATAAGTCCATCCGTGACATTTCCTGGCTACTAAATATTCCACGCTCAACTGTTAGTGGGATTATAACAAAGTGGAAGCCACTGGGAACAACAGCCACTCAGCCACCAACTGGTAGGCCACGTCACATGACAGGGCGGGGTCAGCGCATGCTGAAGCGCACAGTGCGCAGAAGTCGCCAACTGTCTGCAGAGTCAATAGCTAAAGACCTCCAAACTTGGTGTGGCCTTCAGATGAGCCCAACAACAGTGCGTAGAGAGCTTCATGGAATGGGTTTCCATGGCCGAGCAGCTGCATCCAAGCCTTCCATCACCAAGTGCAATGCAAAGCGTCCGATGCCGAGGTGTAAAGCACGCCGCCACTGGACTCTAGAGAAGTGGAGGCGTGTTCTCTGGAGGAAACAATCACGCTTCTCTGTCTGGCAATCTGATGGACGTGTCTGGGTTTGGCGGTGGCCATGAGAACGGTACTTGCCTGACTGCATTGTGCCAAGTGTAAAGTTTGGTGGAGGGGGGATTATGGTGTGGGGGTGTTTTTCAGGGGTTGGGCTTGGCCCCCTAGTTCCAGTGAAGGGAACTCTTAAGGCAACATTTTGGACAATTTCCTGCTCCCAAATTTGTGGGAAGAGTTTTGGGGATGGCCTCTTCCTGTTCCATCATGACTGCCCACCAGTGCACAAAGCAAGGTCCATATAGACATGGAGGAGCCAGTTTGGGGTGGAGGAACTTGACTGTCCTGCACAGAGTCCTGACCTCAACCCCATAGAACACCTTTGGGATGAATTAGAGCGGAGACTGCGAGCCAGGCCTCCTCCCCCGACATCAGTGCCTGACCTGACAAATGTGCTTCTGGAAGAAGACCAGGGGTGTCCACAGTATGGTCCTCCAGGTGTTGAGGAACTGCAAGTCCCATGAGGCCTTGCAAGACTCTGACATCCACAGGCAACACACCCAGAGGCAGAGGCATGATGTGACTTGTAGTACTTCACCAGCTGGAGGGCCATAGTTTTGACACCCCTGCCATAGACACCCTCCTAAACCTTGTGGACAGCCTTCCCAGAAGAGTTGAAGCTGTTCTAGCTGCAAAGGGCGGGGCCAACTCAATATTGAACCCTACGGACTAAGACTGGGGGGCCATTAAAGGTCATGTGTGTGGAAAGGGCGGGGCCAACTCAATATTGAACCCTACGGACTAAGACTGGAAGGACATTAAGGTTCACGTGCGTGGAGAGGCAGGCGGCCCAATACTTGGGGCAATATAGTGTTCAGTGGTTCATATAGTGAACTCGGTGTAGTTATCCCCCCTGAGGTCATCACAGAGGACAAGGGGGCGCTTTTCACGTCTGGAGGAATAGAAATGTCATCTCCAAACACGGAAAGGTTTCTTCACAGTAAGAGCTGAGAATGTGGAATAGACTCCCTCCAGGGTTGGGTGTGGCCAGCTCAGTGGATTGCTGCAGGAAAGTCCTGGATCCTTTCTTGGATAAACAGAATATAACTGGATATAACATTTATAGGGAAAGTGGATCCCGGGAATATCCAATTATTGATCCCGGGAATATCCAATTATTGATCCCGGGAATATCCGATTATTGATCCCGGGAATATCCGATTATTGATCCAGGGAATATCCGATTGCCTCTCGGGGGATCAGGAAGGAATTGTTTCCCCTGCAGGAGCAGATTGGATCGTGCTTTGCTGGGATTTCTGCCTTCCTCTGGATCAACTGTGGGTTCAACTTTTTCCTTTTTTTATAATGGTTGAACTGGATGGACTTTTTTCAGCCAGACTAACTATGGAACTATGTAACTATGGTGTATATTGCAGCTTAACAGTCCTTAGATGTGGTGGATGCTTTTTTAATGTACTGTATTTTCACCTGGTGACCCGGGCAGCACACTTCCTGTGTCAGGGTGTCTCCACTCCTCTACTGTATCTCTGGAGGAACGGTGTAGCCACCCTTGAGCAGCAGCATTGTCACATGGACGTTTCATACGTGATTTGTATGCAGGTGGTACCTCTGCTGTTCCTGCGGAGTGATAGGAACGCTCCATTGGGAAGCAATGCAGTCATCCTATTCTTACTAAATGTCAGCAGAGTCTTCCAGTCTTCCAGCTCATGAACTCAGGTCTCCCACAGGCTGGAGCATGACTTATGACTTCTGTCACTGCAGCCTCTGAATTAACGATTGGAATTGTCAAAGTTCTAATGAACTGAATTGCAGTTTCAATGAGTCTCACCTGAATCTGATCATATGGCCAATCAGAGCGATTGATCAGCTATTTAAGTCTTTCCCGTTTCCTTGCCATAATATTGTGCACCACACATAGTCCTTGTGATACCTCAATTGCTGCTTGTAACCGACCCCGGCTTGTGACACCAATGATAATCCTTTGCTGCCTGATGCTACCCTGTCATGTGACCTCAACACCAACTTCCTGCTGTCTCAACAGGGGGACTTGTGACCCCAGTGCTAATTCTCTACCACCCTGAACCGACCCCGAGTTGTGACCTGAATGCTGACTCTATGCCACCTGAACCAACCCCAGCTTGTGACCTCGATGCTGATTCTCTGCCATCTGAACCAACCCTGACTTGTGACCTCAACACCAACTCTATGCCACCCTGAACCGACCCTAACTTGTGACCTCAACACCAACTCTATGCCACCCTGAACCGACCCTGACTTGTGACCTCAACACCAACTCTATGCCACCCTGAACCGACCCTGACTTGTGACCTCAACACCAACTCTATGCCACCCTGAACCAACCCTGACTTGTGACCTCAACACCAACTCTATGCCACCCTGAACCGACCCTGACTTGTGACCTCAACACCAACTCTATGCCACCCTGAACCGACCCTGACTTGTGACCTCAACACCAACTCTATGCCACCCTGAACCAACCCTGACTTGTGACCTCAACACCAACTCTATGCGAACCTGAACCTACCCTAACTTGTGACCTCAACACCAACTCTATGCGAACCTGAACCTACCCTGACTTGTGACCTCGACGCTGACTCTATGCCACCTAAACCGACCCGACTTGTGACCTCAATGCTGACTCTATGCCACCTGAACTGACCTGACTTGTGACCTCGACACCAACTCTATGCCACCCTGAACCAACCCTGACTTGTGACCTCAACACCAACTCTATGCCACCCTGAACCGACCCTGACTTGTGACCTCAACACCAACTCTATGCCACCCTGAACCGACCCTGACTTGTGACCTCAACACCAACTCTATGCCACCCTGAACCGACCCTAACTTGTGACCTCAACACCAACTCTATGCCACCCTGAACCAACCCTGACTTGTGACCTCAACACCAACTCTATGCCACCTAAACCGACCCCAACTTGTGACCTCAACACCAACTCTATGCGAACCTGAACCGACCCCAACTTGTGACCTCGACGCTGACTCTATGCCACCTAAACCGACCCGACTTGTGACCTCGATGCTGATTCTCTGCCATCTGAACCAACCCTGACTTGTGACCTCAACACCAACTCTATGCCACCCTGAACCGACCCTAACTTGTGACCTCAACACCAACTCTATGCCACCCTGAACCAACCCTAACTTGTGACCTCAACACCAACTCTATGCCACCCTGAACCTACCCTAACTTGTGACCTCAACACCAACTCTATGCCACCCTGAACCGACCCTAACTTGTGACCTCAACACCAACTCTATGCCACCCTGAACCTACCCTAACTTGTGACCTCAACACCAACTCTATGCCACCCTGAACCGACCCTAACTTGTGACCTCGACGCTGACTCTATGCCACCTAAACCGACCCTAACTTGTGACCTCAATGCTGACTCTATGCCACCTGAACTGACCTGACTTGTGACCTCAATGCTGACTCTATGCCATCTGAACTGACCTGACTTGTGACCTCAATGCTGACTCTGCCACCTGAATCGACCCTGACTTGTGACCTCAATGCTGACTCTATGCCACCTGAACCGACCCGACTTGTGACCTCAATGCTGACTCTATGCCACCTGAACCGACCCCGACTTGTGACCTCAATGCTTACTCTATGCCATCTGGACCCATTCTGGCTTGTGACCCCAATGCTAATTCTCTATCAGCCTGAACCAACCCCGAGTTGGGACCTCGACGCTGACTCTATGCCACCCTAAACCAACCCTAGATTGTAACCTCATCGCTGACTCTATGCCATCTGAACCTACCCGACTTGTGTCCTCAGAGCTTATTCTAAGCCACTTAAACCGACCCGACTTGTGACCTCAATGCTGACTCTATGCCACTTAAACCGACCTGACT